TCACCACCCGTACGTGCGAGTACGTGCGACGCGCGTGCCCCGTACGTGCCGTGCGGAAGAAGAACGTGTGAGTATGGCCTCCTTACGGTTAAGTTGCAATCGCACAGAGATCGTACGTTGTAAGCACGTACAACTCACTTACCACTTGCGCAACGTACGATGCACGCAACCGCTCACGGCCAGACGTGGCGTGCAGACCACACTCTTATACCTTGCGCAAACGTGCGAGTGACGTGCGAGTGACGTGCGTCGACGCCACTCCTTCCTCACGTTTTCAGAAAAAACATAGCAGACGTAGCCTCCCAAAAAACGTACGGACAAAAAGCACGTACCGCTTTAAACGACTTGTCAGTGGTTGACCAAAAAAAAGAGACTATAGTGGCAAGGCTTTGCTAGTGTCGGTTGAAAAACAACGTTTTTCCCTTGACTAATCTATTTCGACTTATTACGTCACCGACAGAAAGCCGTGATGGTAAAATCTGTTTGTCCACTGACACTGTACATTTTTGTGAACATCGATTTTGACACAAAAACTATACGGCCGTTAAGCTGTAGGTTTAATATCTCTACTTCCGGAACTGACATCCAGGAACTACTGTAATCCGTAAAAAGCCGGTCCGTCAGTAAGACATTGACATATACTACAACTGTACAGCTCACACTGTCCCACGTGACAGATATAATCCTGTCTTTCTCACTACAATCAATTTTGTACATTCCCCGTGGCACTGGTCAGCCACGATAACACCCTAAAGTCCACAAGCTTGACTACCATCCAGGAATTCATATATCCATATGGAACCCATCTGCTCTGAAAGGCTGTTTGAAAAACCATTCTTATCTCTCGGACATTGATAAAGGATGGTTCGACACCAGGGGAATATGGAGCGAGTCCAAAACAAGCTGGTAAATAATAGAGATAATAAAACTTGTTTCGAGATGCAAGAGATTAAACCTGACGTATTGTGATAAAAATGATTGTTACTTAGTTTTACTGATCTAAATTTGAGTACGGCGTCGTTTTGGTTTAAATGCCACTGCAATAAGTTACGTTAGATACTGCACTTTGTCTATGCAACTGCCCAATTATGAAGATTCTACTGCTGCAGTACCAAGAAAATCCGCCTATAGATTTAAACTTGTTTCTAAAGTCTTTGACAGGTCAAAAAATATTCAGCTTAAGAAATTACAATTACATAACAATCCATACCTACCCTGCGTTATCTTGCTAAACTACAAATATCCAAAAAGAGACGCTAGTTAATATCTCGATACACCTGCTCAGGATGTACCTGCCCGTTGACACCTGTACGGCGACACCAGCCTTGCGAACTGTCCACGAACACCTGTTTTTGCCACCCAACCTGAATTTATCATGAACTACGTAGACTCTCCTTCTACCTAACGGAGTCAGGACTTCCAAACTTTTTGAAAGCACACCAGGCAACTCTCAATGCAGAGCACCAGAGTGGTTTACAGTCCAACATGATGTTAGGAAGATGACAAATGCTGACAGAACAGATCCAGGAAATCCGCCACATTCGTCATGATTAAAGATCAATCGATGCCGTGACAGCGTGCTACTCCGTAACATGGCGACGCGCTGCGGCAGGCTCAAAACTACCCTGCTTCAATATCACCCTTCTCTATTAAATTCCGTAGCCACAATTCCCCTACACTTCCCCAGGTGTATCTAATTTAGCTGCATTTTATTCACAAAACAATAACTGTGGTTGAAGTGTACTTTCGTATGCGGAAATTTAACTATAGTACCTTGTGGTGTTACATAAATCACTTTATTTCTGATTAAAGGAAGGGACACATAAAAGAATTAACATCCAACATTACACAGAGTAAGTACAGTAATATTTGCCACATATCTTCGATATGTAAACGTTAGCAGTCACACGTGTCTCTTACACAACAGCGGCACAGCACCATGACCCTATTCCCACTGGGATAGAGTTGTCCGGGTCGAGCCGAATAGATTCGTTTTGATTCGGCTTCGATCCGGATCAAAGCCGGAACAAATGAAATCTATCCGGCTGGTCGCCATTTACACTCTATGTGTTTTGTCGTTTGTTCAGTATTCATGACCACGTATATTTCATGATGAAGGTAACTTTGTTTTTTATTTGCACGCTCGAATCAAGTTTGGGGGTCCCAGGGGATAGCATGCATATAAATAAATCAACATGGCCTAACTTACACAAAACGCGCCCGCACTTACATAAAAAAAGCTCGTAGAAGGCCCAAACTTCTGTCGCTTCCAGAACAGAACTACTATCACTGTCACTATCACAACAACAGCGCCTTTTGTAGGTCAACATATACAAAACCAGCTGCAGTACCATAACAAGGCGTAAGTGGGCCCCTAACCGGTTTTGACCACTTTTTGCTACATATCAACTCACGATACGCACCCACATACTCATATCAAGACAATCCACGTATTTCTGAGTTATCGTTTCTACAAGAACAGAAGGAGCCAAAAAACACATAATCGCGGGGTCGTATGGCGTAGCGGCAGAGTGCGCGACTCGGAACTAAGAGTCCCGGGTTCGAGTCCTGACATGCCACCGATCTTGTGCCCTTGGGAAAGGCACTTTACACGGCTTTTCTCATTTAGCTCAGGTGTAAATGAGTATTGTCCTGTAATGTATTTGTCCCCTGTGTTGGTGGCGGCATTAATATAAGTTGACGAAACTTGAGTGTGTCGTCACCACGTCTGGTGATTACATGTTGGAATAAATAAAAAAAACACATAATCCTCCACAAAAACGCAACTAACTGCGCGGCCGGGATAATTGAGATGCCAGTTTAATACAAAATGAAAACCGAGTTTTGTCACTTATGGTTCTGATATTTGTATATAAGACAAAAACAGCCGTTTGGACTGCAGGTGACTATGTCTATCAATGGTCCAAAATTTAGTACATGAGAAAACCCTTATTGTGGGGGCCATATTTTCTCTTCCGTGGTATTAGTACATACAGGACTACAGCCGGCACTTAACAATTAAAAAAGGCGTGATTACATATAGAATAGACCTCTATGGTCAATTACTGGTTCGATCATGTATTGCCTATCTAACGCACAGCCGAGTTTGAACGTCTTAGGTCCTGACAATCTCCTGATGGCCTACTAGTGGCCAGACAAAGTTTTCACTCATTTTACGGCTCAGAAGGTTGGCAAGATACTAACAACAAACGACAACCTCTTTGACAACTCAAGCAGTTAATAAGAAACCCTGTCCCTCCTTGTTCACAATTGCAGATGGCTTATCTTCAGCGGCCACAACCTGCCGAGATTTACGGCTGTTTATTTGAAGATATAAACACCCTCATGTTCGCGAGCCGTTCTCCGGGCACCGTCCTGAAATGTCGGCTTCTTCCTGCTCAACAACCAATAGAACAGACATATTTCATCTCTACTTTTTATATTTATATTATAGGCCAATCATGGACCTATCCTCCTTCCAACCAACAATATATGGTCAAACTTATCAGCTGATTTACATTATTTAATAATTATGATCCACTTCATGGATAAGGAAAAGGTTTCCAAATGTGCTCATGCTGAGGTCACAATACCAAACCATGGCCCGGCCGGGCAGTCTTATGGAACGAAAACTATGATATCAAAGGCAACAAAGCACAAAAAAATAATGATAATAATGGGAACTATTTGCGTATATTATGGAAAAATGTTGATTTTCGTTAGTCGAAACAGCCCGTCGGGCCCCGGTTTTGGAAATGTGACTTCAGCATAACATGGGAAAACGGTTATCTGGTATTCATGGTTCACGTTTTATCGTGAAAGTTCGTCAGCGTTGGTTTAACATAGTAGACTAGATGGCTGAACTTGACTGGCTTCTCTGAGTGTTAGAAAAGAAGTCTGTGGTAGATCAGCTAGCGCGTGTATGTGTCGGTCGGAAGTTCAACTATCTATGGTGAAGATAAGTCTGACTTTAGCGACAACGTGTTGCCAGCGTCCTTATTAGCAAAGACTTGAACTGAAAAGGCTGAAGGCTGGTAAACATGACAAGTGATGGGACAAGTGAAGATTCAGCAGCCTGGAACTGATGACTCTCGGCTACTCCCTCGCCATTTGTCAACACACGCGGCCCGCCTAGAACTAAGCTGCTCTTCAATTCCAGTTTCCAGATGACCGGTCAGGGATAAGCGCGAGGTTATCACATGTTTCCAGTTTGTCAGCTCCTAGCCAGAAATACAGCGGGAATCTGGCTATTCTCAAAAGAAGAATGATTATGAATACAGACAGGATCAAAAATCCAATCCCTCTGCAACTGGCATCTCTATAATATTCCGTGATCTAATTGTAGAGTTGGCGACCATCATGTTGTTTGCCAGGACATTCCAGGTGGATAGCGCAACCACCGAAGTTAAAGCGGAATATTTTTACCTTACAGAGTTTTACTTCCACGGGCCATAGAATCCAAACGTTCGTCTTTAATGTCAGTACGTTATCATCAACACATGACAAGTACCGTGTTTACCCACGCAGAATCTCTCACGTTACTGCAGCTGAGCTGGGGACGAAGGGTAGATATCTATCGGTAATCGGTGATAAACTCTGTCAGTCAACATTCCTTCCAGCAACTAAAAAGGCACAGTCTGCCCTAACGTTATCTCACTGACCGTGACTGTTTTCCCAGCCGTGTCTGGTACATCGTCCCAGCCATTGCCAAGGTCAAAATCGCTTGTTCTAAGCAAGCCCTATTTTTCAGTGAGAATGCTCGAGCGCACCAACTTTTATCAACCTCGCTAAGCGAGAGATAGAAGTGTTATTGCAGCCCCAGAAATATGTGTGTATTTAAACGCAACGTCTAGTACATTCTAATGATTTTGAATAGATACGTGTCAACAATAGTCAGCATTAACATGAAAACAGTTCTTCGTGTTTGGTATTTCAGCCACGTCTATGGGTAACAATTGTCACATCGTGACACACTATTCTATAGTTGTACCGACACGTACCTGCAGGGACAGGACGAGGAATGCGAGCGCGGCGGCGACCCTCCCTCGGCCGCCCGACATGCCGTCCTGTCAGCTCCCGCTGCTGAGGGGCCAAAAGTTCAGGTAGGATCCTCCCGCCCGGCAGGGGGACGGCTGCCGTGATGGAAGCCAGCCCACGCACCGCAGTAAAGATTCTGACGGGGAGAGGTGAGGTGATAGAATACCAAACCTGGCAACCAAGTGTCGCGTTACCGGCACCACTACCGGCCGGCCCCGTTAAACCGCCCGGTAATCACGTCAGCTGATCAGGCAGTAGGAGCACCAGTCTGGTCCTGTCCTAGAGTTCAATCAAGAAAACCTTTAAATAATTGCACATATTACTAGGTTCCACAACAATGGCAGTAGAAGTGGAAAGAATTTACAGCCTCTCTCGTTTTAAAAAACACAATCATTTTTTCAAACGGCGACTGGACCTGGGACACTGAGCCGTTTAATAAATATGATAAACACAATAGATCTATCTATCCTCCATTGTTATGAAAACAAATATTATATAATACCAAGTGGATACGATAACCAATCAATTACGATCCAGCCTTCAAGATATATATATAGGTACAAAAATGGTATAATTCTATTAGTAACAACGCAAAACTTTCTGTTTATACCGCATTAAAGGAAAATTATGGACAAAAACAGTACCTCTCAAGTATACACAATGTAGATATCCGAAAAGCGACCACAGAATTAAGAATTAGTTGTCATAAATTAAACATGTAGAAATGGGTCGATACAAGAAAATACCAAATGACCAAAGGTTCTGTCAATTTTGTCCAAATATGATTGAAAATGAGCACCATTTTATAATGGAGTGTACACTATACAATGATAAGCGCCTATTGCTGTTCACATTTCTTTCTGCATGTTCAATTGATTTCGATTCGTTACATCCTATAGATAAATGCAACTACATTCTCAGGGGAGATAACCAATACAGTGTTCAAATACGAAAATACATTAAAGAATGTTTCGATCTTTGAGAACACATGTTAGAGAATAGTTAACCTTTATTGTTTCATCATACATATACTCTGTACGTAAGATGACGTTATCAACACAGGCATATAGCTTTGTTAGATCTTAGAAGTTGTAGAAGACAAAAGTCCCTGTACTTTTTTGTTGTGTCAATAAAGAATCTGTATAATACTAACACATATAACTACTCGTCATCAACCCGCCTTGTCTGTCAACCCGCTGAGGAAGTACCACAATGAATGAAAGTTTGCTTGAATGTAAGTTTATTATTGTGTCTTGCGCCCACACATGTACACCGCCCAGTCTAAATGGGCTTATAAAACACCAAAATGTGGAGTTCACACTCAGTATGGTTCACTGACAAGTTTAGATATATCTATCCTCCAACCCATCTTCTATCTTTTTTCTGCCACATTCTTATGGTTAACATCGTTCTAAAAACAAACATTTGACTTTCCTCCTATCAATAAATTAGCTAAATTATTTTATATTTATCTGGTTAATTGAAGATTCAATTCACTAGATAAATAGACAGTGGCTATTAAATGAAGTGGAAATACCCCCTTCATATGTTGCCTTCTTACATTGTACCTTGTACCTTGTACCTTGGTCCCTTAACCCAGGCCAGGGTCGTGGGGGCACTGCATTAATTTGCGTTTTATCAAATATGAAACGTAACTAAATCACAGGCACTCGGTTTTGAAATATTCATTGCTAATATGAACATGTTACATACCGATTTAAGACACATCTACCTATTGAAATATTGAAACCTTGGTACTAAAACTTACACAAACTTTAACTACATATGTTTAATCCCACCTACGCCGCACTACATACTAGCACTGCAGGGTTTGTGACTGCCTGTATGGAACAATCGAATGATGACCTTTATTGTATATTTTTTTGTTGTAAACCATACAGAAATATAGATGGAGACAGCTCACACACTCTGGTACTTTCGGCTTCCTCCCGCGTCTATTACAATTGTATATAGGAGGCTGAAGGTTTAATCAAATAAAACATGTCAATTATCATTGGTGAATATTATTGGAATAGTTATACTGACTCTGCTCTTGAGTATGCCTTTAAGGTGGGTGGATTAGATTATATGTTCAAAATATGCAAAAGGAAGTCGTTAAACTCGAGTTTACCTCCATAATGATGTACTGTTTTTAAACTATTCTCCATCCTTTCGTCATTTAGAAGATCACCAAAAAACTGCATTTCTACTAAGATCACAAAACCCACTAATTATGCAGAATGTGGGACTATTCATTATCCACTGCCTTTAAAGAAGAAGTCGAACCCCATAATAGCTAGCGTAGTAGTAGAAGTAGAAGTCTTTTCCAGACAGTTGTTACCTGTCTCCTGTTACTGTATTGCAATGAGTATTATACTTGATTGTAAATAAAGTTTGTATAATAACGTGCGGCTTTGAATTTTGAAATGGATGTAAATCGTTTAAAAATAAGATAATAAAGTAATCAATAAATAAAAATGTCGTCATAGCGACAAGATTTGAACGCTATCGCCATAGGGTGTTTCCCATAATGGAAGGTAAACTTCCGTTCGAATTTCCGTTGATTGATTGATTGATTGATTGATTGATTGATTGATTGATTGATTGATTGATTGATTGATTGATTGATTGATTGATGGTAAAACGTTTATTTTGACTGATGTTGATGCATTATGTTCCCATGGGACTAATCTCCGCTAAGAGGGGAAATATCCAGTTTGCGAAGATATTTTGTTCGGGGAAACAAACAATAACAAATAAAGATGCCACCCTTGATAAACAACCCAGCGGATCACTTTAATTATTGCCCCATTGTAAGGTATGCGCGGTCATAACAATGCACTACCAGAGCGTCTACATGATGGCTATCTTCTAAAAAGAGTTGGAGGTCTTTTACCATAGCCCTCCCACATAACTATAGCCTGGTTACCAGACATATTTTAGTCTTGAAGATAAAGACTCTGGAGCTAGAATAGGTAACCAGGCTGACACAACTTCCCTTCTCCCGCGATCCCAGAAACCCAGCTGCCCCCCCCCCCTCACTAGACTCACCATCTGTCCATAGTAACCATAAAACTCTAGACAGATGTCACCTAAGCAGGATTAATGCGGTCTGAACGCTCCACCCCAACCCCCCCTCATATTAAGCTCACGAAAGCGCATTGAAGTCTGAATCCACCGAAGCAGGATTCATGTGCCTCCATTTGAACGATCCAAGTCACACCTGATTCTTTATTGACACAACAAAAAAGTACAGAGACTTTTGTATGGTCTTCTACAACTTAACTAAAGATCTAACAAGCTACATACATGTGTGGATAACGTCATCTTACGTACAGAGTATATGTATGATGTAACAATAAAGGTTAACTATTCTCTAACATGTGGTCTCTAAGATCGAAACATTCTTTAATGTATTTTCCTATTTGAACACTGTATTGGTTATCTCCCCTGAGAATGTAGTTGAATTTATCTATAGCATCTAACGTATTGAAATCAATTGAACAAGCGGAAAGAAAGGTGAACAGCAATAGGCGCTTATCATTGTATAGTGTACACTCCATTATAAAATGGTGCTCATTTTCAATCATGTTTGGACAAAATGGACAGAACCGTTGGTCATTTGGTATTTTCTTGTATCGACCCATTTCTATGTTTAATTTATGACAACTAATTCTTAATTTTGTGATAGCTTTTCGGATATCTAGATTGTGTATACTTGAGAGGTATTGTTTTTGTCCATTATTTTCCTTTAATGTGGTATAAACAGAAAGTTTTGCGTTGTTACTAATAGAATTATACCATTTTTGTATATATATATCTTGAAAGCGGGATCGTCACATTACAATCGTCTCGATCCCAAACACACACACACACACACACACACACACACACACACACACTTGCTTGCTTACTGCTTAAGGCAGTCCTTCGGTTTCGAAGATGACGTCCCTCATTGTTGACTCTCTGTCTCTCTCACTCGATGTGTTCTTCGATGGCTGATTAGGCCACACACACACACACACACACATACATACACACACACACACACACACACACACAAACACACACACACACACACACACACACACACACACATACATGCACATACACACACACACGCGCACACACACACACCGAAAAAAAACTATTGCATCCT